CCCGCCGAGACCGGGAAGTCTGGGTCCTACGGAGGACCCGGCCTGTCGTTTTGGACACAGCCCTAGTTGATGTTATCATTTACCCAGAATGCTTTGCGTGTAAATAAAATGGCCCCATCCTTGTAATATATTTTTAAACTTTTAGTTTTAAAATGATCAAAACTGAAAATCCTTCAGTATTTTTACAGTCATTGTTTTACAATTAAAGTATATGTTTATTAAATAAAGTCTATACAACTAATCAGGAATCCCTTTTAAAAAGTTCAGCAAGACAACGTATATCTTCCAACTCGTTTCTGACCCCAAACACTAACAAAAACTAGGCTAACCCCGGCATCTCTTCCTCTTGGCCTTGCAGCACCCACATAATCCAGTTTGAATCAATTTATCTGCTCATTTCCAGGATGAGGACTTTACGTAACACCCAACACAAAACACTTGTGAGCAAAGCAAGAACATAAAAACCCCATCCATCGACCTGGTTACAAAACTTGAAAGAAAAAATGAAAAGGATGTCAAGTGATGCTTCTTTCTGTGATGCACGCTAACTGGAGCAAGTTTGAAGAGATTTGATTCACCTAAATGAGAGCCACTAATGCAAATCATATAACCCTTATATCAAGAAGAAGAGCTACAAAAACATGACTTTTCAGAAGGAATTTAAGAAACAAAAGAGGTTTCAAAAACCAAAAAAAGAAAGAAACGTTTTATTCCATTTCCTTTTGTACATTCCGGTACAGGAAATATACATTCTGTAAACCATTGAGAACTGCAACATGCGTGCAGATTTGCACATAAACTTGTCTGACTTCAGAGTAAGAAGATTGAAACCATTATTAGCTCGATGTGTGTGGAGCGGTAGCTGCCCAGAATTACTCAAAGCTTCTTACCTCAAGTCACACACCAATGACTAAGGTTGACAAAGCTCCGGTGATTCAAGCACTTTACCTTGCACAAACCAGCKCAGTTTTAGCAACACAAAATACAGAAAGCTGCAGGACATTCCAAATGTATTTACTAAGCCTATGATCATATTATTCTACCCTACATTTGTGCATTTATTTATTCAATRTGCAGGTTTTCCTTTAAGGCATGCAAATGTTTGAATGTAACAGATGTTGCTCTCTGCCCTGATTGGCCCTAAACTGCATACAACATTTAAAAAGAAAAGAAAAATGGACACTGCATAATACTGTAAACATGTAATGTTACATAACTGTCTATGCTGGTCATCCACATAACAGACAGATGTGGGCCAGATYTGGTGTCAGGRTGGCATTGCAAGTGGTTTGTCTACCAGATGTGAGCCAGGTCTGGCAATGATGGCATGATGGTTTTTAACATGGCATGCCACAGCTGGTTCGGTTGTGTTTGGTTTATGTGGTGCTGGTCCATGCATGGACCATCTGTGGCAAACCACTTCTGTGGCCATCAAAGGGCCATTATTCTTTACAGTTTCTGGGCCAAGTGCTTTGCTATGCGGTCATATCATAGAGCAAAGCTCTCATATAGTAAAAACGTTCAGGCCCAGTTCTGGCCCACGTATTACCTGAGCAGCAATGCTTGGCCCAGATATCACATAAAAATGATGGCCCTTTGGTGGCCTAGAAACTGTTTGCAACAGGTGGTCCATGCATGGGCCAGACCGGGCCCACATCTGGTTGACAATCCACTTTCCATGCCAGCAGTGCCAGCTTGACACCAGATCTGGTCCACTGGTCTGTTGTGTTGGAATTTCAGTGCTGGCCACCCACATAGCAGACAGGTGTGGGCCAGACCTGGTGTCAAGCTGGCACTGCTGGCATGGTGGCACTGTTTTTAAGACAGCATGCCACAAGTGGCCTGGATGGGGTCTGGTTTGTGTGATGCTGGCCCATGCATGGACTACCTCTGGTGAACTGCATTTGGGCCACCAAAAGACCACCTGTGCCAAGTTTTGCTTTGTAGGCACATTATAGAACAAAACTCCCACATAGCAAAATTGTTTTAACCCAGATCCCGCAAAGAATGACAGATTTTTGGTGGCCCAGATGCAGTTCGCCAGATGTGCTCCATGCATGGTCAGCACTATACGAACCAAACCTCGAATGGGCCATTTGTGGCAGCCATCTTAAAAACAGTGCRATTACTGCCAGACCTGACTCACATCTGGTTGACAAACCATTTGCCATGCCAGCAGTCAGCCAGCAGGGCCAGCTTGACTCCAGATCTGGTCCACACCTGTCTGCCATGTGAGTTGAAATGAATCAAACCATTCAGCCTGAATGAATAAAAAATACAAAGGAATAGATGGACAGTTTGGAAGGGAATTATTTTTGCTTCCTTGCTAAGCTAACCTTTATATACTTCAACAGATTTATGTTAGCATAGCACAAAAAAACAGAAACATCAGATGTGGCGCAGCGGTTGGGCAGTGAATTCAAAACCAGTAAGTCACAGGTTTGATTCCTCTCCGTGCCTACATCATGACATATCCATGAGGAAGACACTTATAACCTAACTGCTACATGGGTGTGCTAATAGCTGTCTGCTGCTACTAAAAACACCTTTTCACCAAAGTGAGACAAGCTGGCATCAAACAGCAGAGGAGCTGATAACTTTGTGAGAAACATAAATCACCCACTGGTGTAATCAACATCTGCAAAAATCTGAGTAGAGCTCAGTGTTGTTCAGTCATTCTAATCTCTTTCAAATGATATTCAAACTCCTCTCTGCTAAAAGCCTGTCAACTCATTTAGTGCAACAACCACTCRATACTCCTCTGCACTGCGCTTCATTCGAGAGTCGCTTTGAATAAAAGTGTCAGTGTCATGTAGCTCATTGAGCACACGCACACAGGGACATTCTGTCTGTGTTTCTGACTAACAATTGATTCCACTCACATGACGAGAAGATYGTGTTTGCAAAGGAAAATGAAGCAAGACTGGGCAGAAACACAGGATGCATCAGACGGACACAATAAACTGAATGGGGAAAAAAAATCAATTGATAGCTGAACTGTATCAATGTGTCAGAGTGCTTCTTGATGTCTTTCTGTTTTGCTAAGCTAACCAGCTGTTGTTCAAGCAAGAAAGCAAATTCTCATTTCCCTAAGCTGTTTGCAAGTTAAATCTTTGGGTGCAGGATTTTTGCCTTAGCCCTCTAGTATTTAGAGTACTTACACAATCATCTATGTGTTATTATGCTTGTGACAAGAAAATACCACATTAATGGTAACCAATTATTCTCCTTGCCTTTTATAACATTCGTTTTCCCTTTTATTCTTTAAGCTGCAGTGTGTTGCCCTGAAAGATGAGTTTCTTTTCTACGTCAGGTAAAAAAAAACCAGATCTATTGTGCTGCAAAACAAAAAGAGGATGCTCAGTGTGTGAACAAGTCGAGGAAAAAAGGTTTGAATGTTACAGACTTTTAGTTTTGTAAAAGGATTTTACTTGTTTGCCCTAAAACCTGCTTTCCTGTCCTAATAACTTTGGCTGGGTGGGGGTAGTTGTGTCATGTCTTCAAACAAATGCACAACAGTTATACAAAAACACATGCCTACATTGAGTCCATTAAGATATTTACCCAAAAAAGCAAGAGTTCTAAAACACATATAAGCAGCACAAATCGAGGCTAAGCTGCTTGATAGTGGAATATAATCTTCACAGCATATGGAAGAACAAAACTGCAAAACATTAAGGCAACATTCACAAAGACAAAATCCGATTTAAAAACAAAACGACCAGGCATCAGTTTTTCTGTTCACAGCATAAAGTAAGAGCGAAAGCAAAGCTGAGAAATGTTAAAGTGATAGAAAAGTCTTTCAGKGTTTTAGATACTGCATTTGGGAAACGTTAGTGAAAAGACAGCGAGGGTGCYTGCTCTCTGAGTCTTGGCAGAGTAGTTCCAACGTGGAAAAAAAGACAATAAAAAATGATCATAAAATACCGGAATGGAAGCTAACGTTGTTTGTCTCCTAGGCCCAGATTTCCTGGATGCTCCAGGGTTTGGTGAGGTTCTGGACCCAGAGTGCTGTGTCTACGTGAAACAGAACAATTTCACCAGAGCTTTCTCTACGCTGATGATGCAATGCCTCCTTTGACACAAAAAGCCTTAATATACTGCTGATTTAACCCTGAATGAGTAAGACTTTATAAAGAAACAAAAGTATTTTTTGAAAAATACACATTTATCATAATTTACATATAATTAAGAAAAAAATATCCTGTGAAGATAAGGCTTGCAGCAAAATAAAGAATAAATTCCAACCTTCAAACTTTAGGTTACAGCAGAAAGTATGAGAATAAAACGTGGAGAAGCATGATATCTAAGACGAAAGCTTGTGTACCTACCAGCTCAAGAAAGGTATTCTCCAGTGACTTATACTCAGGTGAGCTCTTGTTGAACAGGTCATCAGAAAACATCATGTTAGTGACCCTCAAGCTAAAGAACACCACCAACTCTTTGCTCCTGTCCACTGCCACCATCAGAGGGGTGCTGGCTTGTCTCATGGAAGGCGCAGCTGTGGATTCATACGGGCGCTCATCAGACTCCGAGGCGAACCCGCTGCCGCTCTCCTCTTCCTCCAGTGGCTCTGTGACCTCCGCCTCTGTCTCGCTCTGACTRGGCCCTGCTTCCTGCGCCGTGAGGGGAGTCACTCCGCTGTACCCTCTGCTCAGATCAGACCCATCTTCAGGAGCATGGTTTCTGTCCACGGGTGACGGCAGAGGCGCCACATCTGCTTCTGGTTCACCGCCCTGGGCCGAGTCCTTGGCGGGGGAAGGGGTGGAAACTGAAGGGACCATGACAGGTTTGTGTGGAACTGTGGGGGACGTAGATTCCAAAGGGTTGACGTTAACTTCAAATGGTGCATCAGTGGACACTTCATCAGACCGGGGGCCTGATGTCACCACAATGAAGTCTTCTAGATGTTCACCGCTGTCTGCGTTAGACAGTTCAGGCTCTAAAGCAGAACAGAACAAAAATTATATTAGAGATTAAAGTGTACAAAGATTTARAGATATATTATATTTAATCTATTTTAACGTTCACTCCACCATGGTAAACTCTTGATATTTTTACAGAGCAAGCAGTTAGGGTMGTTTGATARCACCAATTTCCTTTCCTTCCTTACAGAGTAAAACTCAGTCGGTAACAACAATACTGATCGATGTTCAGCACTTTGTTTCAGCTGTGGTTTGTGTTAAAGCACTTTATAAATAAAGTTTGATGAAGATGATGCTCCAATATGGATACTTGGTGCAAATACACAAAATAGTGCAAAGTAGTTCCCACAACCGTACATGGTTTATAGAAGATTTCAACAATTTAGTTACTTTCCATTGTGTTCCTGTTATTAATATAGAATATCTGAAATAACTAAAGTATCAAAGTATTGATATTTTGATTTCTGTCTTGATTCTAGAGCATAAAGTTCTGGTATCGGTGGAATTGATATTTTAGTATTGATCTGTACATCACTACAACCAGTCATTTGCTCTCTTTACCAGAGCTGATCCCACTTTCCATTTAAAATATTGGCACAGTTACATTTAAGTTTAAAATCACAGCCACAGCACAAGAAGAGCCAGAAGTCCAATTAAAAGAAACAAGAATTTAAAAATATAATCGTAAGATTAAGATATAAAGCATTAGTAACTTGAGTCATGATGCAACTGGTTTGGTCAAACTCTCAACCTTGAAACAAAGAAAATAGCCTCCACTCTCAAAAATCTAACAATTTCTAACTGTAAAATAATTTTTGTATGGTATTCTCTGCTAATGCAATCATGATTCAGAGCTGTAGAGATTTTTGTTGCAGAAATACTTCATGCATGAGATGTCACTTGAAAACTTCACGTGTGACGACTCCTGTCTTTTGTTGCTCAGGTGAAGTGTGTGTGGCAGTCCAGTTATATGGTTTTATTCTGCTTTGGCTTGTTTTGGGTTTTTACTTTTTTAATTCTTTAATTTAGTTCATTTTCTTTTTACTTAAAACTTTACTTATTTCAATAAAAACACACATAAACCCGCTTTGAAATTGGTATGTCTCTTTTTGTCATGACCTCACATGGTGGGTCATGACAAATGGGGGCTCATTAGGGATTAACATCAACCCAAGGAAAGACAGGAGTCATCACATATGCTACAACTTTTTTTAAAAATTGACATAATTTAATGTGTTTGCACAAGTTAAACAAGATTGTTGCATATTTAACATGTTATTTATCGTCTGAGCTAACAGTGAAAAAGATGGAAATATGTGTGATTTATTGCACTTTAAGGATGTGGTTAGGAAATTTAAAATATACATAAGCCTGACACCTATGTGCTCATGTCCATCAATATTTCCCATAGTATGGTAATTACAAAAAGTAGCATGCTCATTTGTCTATTTTAGAGTACTTAAAATGATTTAATTAAATTAGTACTGCTCTTGGTGCAACACAAATTTTTATTTTCACACTAAATACGTCTTGCAGTTGTTATTGGCAGCCCTTGAACTAAAAACTAAGTTCTTCATGTTTAACCAAGTTTCTCCTCTCYGCTCAGCATGAGTTTGTAATGACTCCACCAACAGCCAGTTTGCTGCTTGTTAATAAGTTTTAACGTGAAGCGTGGCTTCGGCAGTGAGAGTGTGCAAGATGAGACCAAGTCTAATTGTGCTTCCACTTCTATTTCCTGAGTAAAATGAGTTTTCCTTCTGCACACTGCAACTATGTCTGATTATGGATTGAGTTTCATGTGACACCTGCAGTCGAGCAAAATGAATTTCCGAGATCCAGTTGCACTCATAGTTTGAGTCAATATTAAAAAGGATGGGAAATCATTAATGTAATCACTTAGTTGTAATTATTACCTCCGCTAAGGGGGGGGAGGTAATGTTTTTGGTCGCGTATGTCTGTCTGTTGTTCTGTCTGTGGACAAAATTACTCAAAAACTTGTGGACGGATTGTCATGACATTTTTACCACATGTGGGTACTGACCCAAGGAACACACCATTAAATTTTGGTGATGTTCTCGATCACAATGCGGATACAGGATTTTTTTTCTTTTAATTCGAGCGAATCAGCCAGGCTACACAGTATCATTACGTCAGACACATGCCTGTAGGAAACAGGAAGTACAAGTCATAAACTCACTGGGATTACACATCCCAGGATGTCTACTATCAGGAAAGTTGTGATTATTCTGTTATCAACTACTTCTGGCGATGTTACTGTCTGGAGACGTGGAAAAAGAAATGCGATTCTCTTCATGTTACGAGAATAACAGAAGACACCAACAGCAGGAGGAGGGTCCTGCTGCAGCCCAGCTGAACCTGCACTGTCCGGAAGAGCTGATCCACCATGCCAGGTAACCCCTCCATATAAGAACTTTATTGTGTGATTGGTAAGAAGTTCCTTGGAGCGCTCAGACGCTGTATTTTGCTTCAATCACTCGCTTCAAAAAAAAGACTTGCTTCATGAGCGATTGTACCAGAAAGCAGCAGTTTTTAAAGACAGTCAAACCATTAGAAACTCATAAAATGGGATAAAACAGATGTTTTACTTTGTGGAATGTGACTGATGAAAACTTAGGAGCTTAATCCGAGACCAATTTCACGATGAATAACATCGGGTGACAAGTCTGACTTTATTTTCCACATTGSACTCCATCGGGAAGAAATCCCGTGCAGCCTGCTTAAATGTTCGCTACGTCAGAATTTATTCGGCAAATGTGTTTCCATCTCTGCTTTTGCACATTAACTCTATTGCAGGATGGGGGAAATCGGCCTTGGCGGAGGTTTGCCTTCTCTGAGTACTTCTAGTTCCCAATACAACTCTATCTAGAAGTACTTTTGAAGTCCCCGTAGAGTCTTTGAAATAATGAAGTACGAATGCAATGATAACAGAACTGAGGTATTAGTATATCTCAATTCTTTGATGTTTTTGTGCCCAATTCAGGAATTCTCTTTGATTTTTACTTGAGTTCCTCCTGCAGCAGCTCCTCCTCAGTCCACGGCCCCACCATTAACCCAATCAAGCCACAGAAACCACATAAGTGTGGCTCAGGTTCTCATTTCCAAATGTCCTCCCTGCCATCCATCAGTAGCTCTAAATGGAGTCCACACCGCAGTCTACTGTTTGATTAATCGATAAAGCTTTAAATTTTTAAACTTGGCTCTCCTTGACATCCTACAGGGCTTCACCCCCTCCCCCCACCCCCACCCCTCTCAGCTGCTCCTCAGATGCAACCTCACCTTCATCGCTGGGTTCAGTTATCTCCTCCATCGCTGTCTCCTCTTCCTTCTCCGATTCTGTTGTTTTTGTGGACTCYTCTTCTGCAGCTGCCATTAAAGGAGTCTCGGCAGCGGRGGCCCCGGGGYGGGTGTTGGGCTTTAAAGGCACGAAGGAGTGCGTTTCTGGTTTGACAGTGAATGGAGCTTCCAGCCAGTTTTTTATGTCCGCCACGGTGGGGGATAAACTTTGGGTGGGGGTGTCGACACCCTCTGGTGCACCCTCCTCAGCAGGGCTCATTTCATGCCCTGCCACTGGATAAACTGTGGTTACTGTTAAAAAAAATGGTTTAAAACGCCAATACTTCCTCAAAATTCCCCTTTTAGCATTGACGTGTAACTTTATGCTTACCAGCCTCAAAGCTGAGGGTCTGTATGTCCATCAGGAGAGTCGGCTCCTGCTTTAAGGCCGTCGCAATGATGTGCTTCAGTTTCGGAGCATTCACGTCCTGGTTTGCTTCTGCCTCAACCTCCTCCACAAACCCCTCAGGGTCATCGTTGAGTTGCGTTTCCCCGTTAAAGACCACGGCGCAACGCATGGACACGTCRTCGGATCTGATCGGCAGCAAAAATCATGTCAGAAAAATACATCACAGCAAAAAACAATCAAACAAAAAAACCTCATGAGATGTTTACTCTAAAAGAGGTGAGGGATGTGAATTAAATCAACATGGTTTCCAGAGGTTCTTTCTTTTTATCTCACCGAAACTGTCACCACAAAGCTCGACTGAAGCCTACATGCTCAAACCTTTTCAACCCACCGAAATCCCAGAACACGGATTTCTTTGAATCCTGGGACTTTTTCAAAGACGTGCAGCATCTGTGGAGGGAAGGAAAAAAGGTTAGAATTTGAAAATATACATGAACTTGTAAGATATGTATTTATTTACATTGATTTTTTTGTTTTATTAATTTTTTTATGTATTACATTTGGACAAAAAAACAAGGTATTTTTTCTCCCSTCTGCAGTGTGGTTGCAGTGAAGCATGGCGGTGGCAGTATTATGCTGTGGGGTTGTGTTTTATTTTAGTGAAAGGGTTTTAGTGAGGGTTAATATGCTAAATAAAACTTGGCTGAGAGGTTTTCCCCACAAATGCATCTTAACTCTGAGCACAAAGCTGAGAAGATCCAGGAAAACAAGAACTTTGGCCTAAACTCAGCTGAACATCCCTGAAGAAACCTGCAAATGTCCTCCTCCACTTCAATAAGGAGGGCTTGAGTTGAGCTGCAGAGTCATGGGGCAGAAACTGACTGAACAGGTTCGGGTGCAGGAGCAGAACCGTTTCCTGCCGGTGTTGGCAGCAGTTTGTGCTCACCTTGCCCCTGAGCTCTTTGGTGATGTCATCATACTGCGACGCGGCGGGGTCGCTGAGCAGCTCGCTGTACGTCGGGTCTCTGATGGTGATGCTGAACTCGACGATGTACTCCTCAGAGTTCTCTTTGATCACGTTGGGATCTTCTTTAACCTGACAAACAAAAAAATACATTACAACAGATTTTAGCTGGCAGTGAAAAATTAAACAAATATTTTGTAAAACAACATTTCAGCTCTGATGCTTCTCGTACCCCTTCAGTTGGAATCACAGGCGGGATCCAGGTGCCTGAGATTAAAATAAATAAATAAATACAACTGTTCAGTAAAAATYTAAAGCTGATTTATTAAAACCATTTAATTCACTGAACAAAARTGGAACTTACATTCACTGCCTGGCTTTTGAGTGGCAGCTGCAAAACTAGAAAAAMGGAGAAAACTGTTAATTTTTAAATGCCTAGTCTTTAGAAATGATTCTGAACTGTTAAAGATTTTAAAGCATCTGTGAGGTTTTTTTAAATACTCATGTTCAGACRGGAGACATTTTGCTAACAGACACAGGTGGCTCCAGATCAATGAGGGCTTTGAATATGTGTTGAGTATCACTCTCAGCTACMTCTTATTTTCCTTTCGGCTTTTCCCTTTTAGGGGTCGCCACAGRGAATCATCTGTTTCCAAGTAACCCTATCTTCTGCATCTTCTTCTCTCACACCAACCACCTTCATGTCCTCTTTCACTCCATCCATAAATCTCCTCTTTGGTCTTCCTMTAGGTCTCCTGCCTGGCAGTTCCATCCTCAGCATCCTTCTGCCTACGTATTCACCATCGTCTGTACATGTCCAAACCATCTCAGTCTGGCTTCTGGGATTTTATCTCCAACACAACTGACATAGGCTGTTCTTCTGATGCATTCTTTCCTGATCTTATCCATCCTRGTCACTCCCAAAGAGAACCTCAACATCTTCATCTCTGCAACCTCCAGCTCTGCCTCCTGTCTCTTTGTCATTGCCACTGTTCTCTAAACCAAACAGAATTGCTGGTCTCACTGCCGTCTTGCACACCTTCCCCTTCATTCTTGCTGATACGCTTTTATCACACATCACACCTGAAACGTTTCTCCACCCATTCCAACCWGCTTGGACACGTTTCTTCACTTCCTTACCACACTCGCCATTGCTCTGGACTGTTGACCCTTAATAAATCCTTCACCTTCTTTATCTCTGTTCCCTGTAACCTCATGCCTCCATTTGGATCCCTCTCATTCACACACATGTATTCAGTTTTGCTACGGCTAAACTTCATTCACCCTCCTTTCCAGGGCAAACTTCCATCTGTCAAGATTTTCCTCCACCTGTTCTCTGCTCTCCCCACAGATCACAACAGTGCTGGCTCTAGCCATTTTGGTGCCCTAGGTGAGTTGAAGCGCACCCCCCCCCCACCACCACCACCACCACCAAACTATGTCCCACCCACCCCAATTTGAACCCCCTAAAAACAAGTTTGACAGTGTAAGGTACTATGGTAAGCTTAGATTTATTTGCTCCCCCCACTCCGCCCCCGGGTGCGAGTTGTGTGGATTTTTTGCAAAATTTGCAGTTTTTTGAGGCGTTTTATACATGTAAATGTCCGAAGAGGTTGACATGTATGGGACAACAAAATACAGACTTGTTGTTATTGAGTTTGTCAACATGAACTGCTACCTGAGAGGCACTACTAGCCCCTCCCCTGTCAAAGTGTCAGAGCAGGACGAGTGCAACATCAATCAAATGAGAGAGCGGGTGGGGGCGTTTCCTGCATTTGGGGGGGGTGGTGTTTTATGGGTAGAGTTGTTTATTTTTCCTGTAACACTTCATTATAGTTTTTTAAGACAAAGCTAATTGAAAGGGGCGCTGAGCAGAGTTACAACCAGGGATTACAAATTATTACATTTTTTTCTTCTGCAGTTCGGCACCCCCTCCAGCAGATGGTGCTCTAGGCGACCGCCTAGTTCACCTATGCCAAGAGCCGGCTCTGGATCACAATGTCATCTGCAAACATCATAGTCCATGGGGATTCCTGTCTAACCTCATCTGTCAATCTGTCCATCACCACAGCAAACAAGAACGGACTCAGAGCTGATCATTGGTAGAGTCCTACTTCCACCTTAAACTCCTCTGTCACTCCRACAGCACACCTCACCACAGTCTTACTTCTCTCATACATGTCCTGCAACACTCTCACATACTTCTCTGCTACTCCAGACTTCCTCATGCAGAACCATAGCTCTTCTCTTGGAACCCTGTCATATGCTTTCTCTAAGTCTATAAAAACACAATGCAGCTCCCTCTGACATTCTTTGTATTTCTCTATCAACATCCGCAAAGCAAAGCATCACTCTCAGCTACTACCACACCAAATATTAGCTTGATATCTGTGACATCGGCTGAGTTTAGTATTGTGTTGTGTAAAGCTATGGCAGCCATCTTAAACGGGACTCCCTCTAAAAGTTATTCAGCAGGAAATYTTTGGCCAGGGAGTTTTAACCAAATCAGTGTTTTTGCTTCATGAGAAATGTTACTGATAAATGAGCACCTACCCATCACTTTCAGGCTTCTCTGCCACTACCTGGGGGGGGGGAAGCAACATTTTATCACATGTCCAAAAACTACTGTATACACGGCATGAATTTGTTGATGGGAGTTTATGTCTCTCACTCTGGCCACCATGTCCAGGTGCTCCTGAGAGCTGCTGAAGTTTTGGGCCAGGTCATCCATGCAGAGGTTCTGGTGCTGGCAGGTGTACACCCAGGCCCTGTACTCCTCCGGGTTCGGGACTCTGTCCAGAAAGATCCGAAATGCTTCCCAGATGGCCTCCTGACAAACTGAGGATAAATGATAGGAAAAAAGGTTGTTTCAAAAATTCCTTCATTCGTTCATTCATTCATTTTCTTTAGCAGTTTTTTTCCTGTCATAAACAGGGTTGGTTGTTTTAAAATAATATAAAAGTGCATAAATGATGGAAACAAGTGTGAAGAAATCGTCACAGATGTTGCCATGAATCAGAGACAATAATTGCTTTTTATCTCCCCCACAGAGAACATTTAAATTGCTGCATTTGATAAAAATCACTCATTAGCGTGTTAGCTCAAAATATATTTTCATTGCGAGATGCACAAAACCACTTGTTTCCTAAATGTCAGCCAATATATTTCATGACAATTTTTGGTGGTCGGGGGAATATTAGAAGCATGAAAGCAAATAAAACCCCCACGTTCCATCTGCCTCCCCGGGTGAAATGAGTGCCGGATTGTCCAATATCCAGATGCCTGTGGGAAATTTAAATTCTCTGACAAAAGCCATTACCGAAGCGACGCTATTACCTCCAATACGCCAATTTAATCGGCCTCATTTGGAAATGTTCCATGGATCACTTGGATAAGAAACCTTTTGTAAGATGACAAAGTGATTTAAGCATAAAGGAGTAACAATTATCCATCTCAAACAGCTTTAGGGGCATGACACAGGCGTTTTAGAATAATACTTAAAGACGCAGATCTGAAAAGTGCAGAAATCATGAAAGGATGTTTAATCTGCGTGTACCTCTGAGTTTGTAATAGGCTCGGTGGCTGCCAATCACTGCCTTCGCCGTGTCCTGGGGGCACACTTTGACCCCCGTAGAAAAAAGCGTTGACCTCTTGACCCGACGGCCATCCTGCTCCGCTCCCACGTTGGTCCCATGTCCGACGGGACGGGACGCCTCCAGAAAGTGTCTGTACTTTACATCCCTGAGTCCAGAAAAACCGTAGCTGTGAAGATCTATAAGCGTGAAATAAAATGAAATTTAAAAAAAATAATAAAGATTTAAGTTGGGACATTTTAACAAACACATCCACTGATTAAAGACTCTCTCTTATTGGTATTTTTTTTGTGTGCTGTCGTGTTCGTGTCAGCGTTGTTTTTATGGATGATGGGGATAATTACCAGCCGAACACAAAGCCAGATTTGCACAGCGTGCACTAAATGATCTGTAGTTAGGGACACACTGTGCATAAATTTGGGAAATTGTTTTCTGTTAAACTGTCATTCGTTTCTCCCTCATCTGTAGCCTGAACAGGTTCGCAAGCATTCCTTCCATCGCTCATAAAAACTCACTTTATGGAGCATTAGATTTTGTTTCGTTGTAAATTAGCTATTTCTCATCACCTGCAGCCATGAAAGGCAGGGAATTATGTGTTTGTCTGTTAGCAAAATATTTCATAAACCCCTGGATAGATTTTGTTGAAAATTCCAGAAACATCTAAATAATGAAAAATGGCCGCCACAGCTAATCAACCTTAGCAAACAAGAAATTGTGGGTTTTTTTGTTMMTTTTTTTTTACAAATAATGAGCTAAAAAAAAWTTTACAAATAATGCGCTATAATTTAGCATGGTAGTAGCTGAGAGTCATTCACAACGTACTCTAAAACACTTAAGAAAATGCGTGAGTTTTTTTTCTAAACCTTTACATTAACTGGAGTCAACACTAATTGTCTGTTAGTGAAATTATTCAAAACCAGTGAATGATTTTAAGTAAAACTCTCAGAAACTAACCACTGGACGTTTCTCTACAACTGATTAACATTTGGAGTTGACTTGATCCAAGATGGCCGTTACAGTTAATCAAATACAGCAAGCACATAAATGGCAACAAGTCAGTTGATGTTACATATACTGGAAAATAATTTCATGCGGTTGTAGCTGAGGAGGTTTTTATTTTACCAAGTATGATGTTAATCTAGAACACCATACTGTATTTCTGTTTTGGTCTCCCCTTGTGATGTGTCTATTTTCAATGTTCTCCTCAGTGTTGCTCCTTAGCTCCTCCCATGCACACCTGATCCTCATGTCTCTTCCCAGGTGTTCTCTATCAACTCCTTGTTTCCTCAGATATACAGTATTCTGTCTTGTCTTCACTTCCTGTCAGTTCATCGTGTGTCCTGTCTGGTRGGTCCTCCATGCACCTCAGTGTCTTAAAATGAGTTTTCTGCTGCCCCATCAGCATTTTGATTTTGTAAATAAATATTTAGGGTTTTTTTTATTCCTGAGTTTTGCCTGCTCCCTGGGTCAAATCTACACGCAACCTGACAAAACATGTTTATACTCTCAACATGTCCGTTTTTGATGATGTTTACCTCACTTCTGCTTTTTTTTTTACGTCAATGAGGATGTTCTGTTCTGTATCAAATGTTGTTATAATAGCACAGTAATTACATTATTTCTGCTCACTTGTTGTTGTTTTTCTAATCCGGAAGTACTGTTTGTTATTTGGGTTCAGTGACCGCCGGTSTGTGTTTTGGGGATCAGAAATCTGAGCTTTATGTCTTAAGAAGTCCCACAAGATTTGCCAGCTGGCATCACAATAAGAGCCTTTTCTTCTGAAATAGATTTCTTCAGCAGAGTGACAAACAGATTTTGGAGCAGCACTCCAGCTTTTTTAAGGGTCTAACATTATGTCCCAAAATAACCTCACAAGTGGACAATTATAGGGCTCTGAAAGTTTGGCCAGTCCTTAACTTGTGTGTAGCATCTTCTAAAAACAAAGGAGACAAACAACCACACTCAGAGACAGTTTAATGTTACCATCCAATCTAACATGAATGTTTGGGTGTGTGGAAGAAATCTTTGGCTGCACTGTCTTGATTATTTTAACAAAAGTCCCTGCTATGGCATGTAAACACTTCATCCAAAGTTAAATTACTGTGTTATAATAATAGCATTTGACACAGAACCTAGAAATAAAGATTTATTTTCAGTAGAAAACAATTGTGTACCACCCAGAAGGGATGATTGTGATTATTATAATAAAGAAAAAAAATCCAAACCTAACATAATCAAAAAATGAGAAAAACGAATTTATTAACTTTTTCACATTAACACGTTCTGTATAATTAATTGTTTTGTTTTGTTTTTACCACAGTTTATTTTTTTGTATTTGATATTCAACATACAAACTATTATTTTAAATATGTTCAATATTCTAAAATATGCATGAAACGATGGTGGTCTCAGTCCCTTTGCATTTAGATTAGCTCACATCCACATGTTAGTCTGAGATGCTAAGAAACTTAATCAATGTTTGTCAAATTCTAATTAGAACAAAATCTCCAACTTGTTTGGTCAAAAATATGTTACGTTTCTACATGTTTCTTAAACCCATCATCTGTTCTTCCATGGCTGCAGTTGTGGCCCTAAATACGTGTTGTTCCTGTAAGATACTTGAGAAGTCATCATAGATCTGATGGTGCTTTGGGTCTGTTACARATAAATAACTTGTCTGAACCAAAACTGGAAACTAGTATTCATTACACAGCAGGTAAATGTGGGGTATTTCAACATGAACCAAAGTTCCTAACCAGTTGTGTTTAGTTTCAGATCGAACTAAGAGGCTTCTTGATGCCTAAACCCAAGGAAAACTGCAACTTTAATGGCAAAGCATGATAGAAATTCAAAGGAAAGAGATAYCAAGAAAGTATAAGTAAGAAAAAAACTCTTAAATCCACTGTATTCCTGCTGCCATCATTATTAGGACGACCTGAAAAACCTCAGCATTTCAAAAAAAAAAGTTTCTTCTTTCAGCTGTTTCCTCTWCAGGGGTCTCCCCCATCCCACTCTGTCCTCACTCCATGTTCTCTCTAACTGCGTCCACGTCTCCTCGTTGTCTTCTTCCTGGCAGCTGCATCTCTAACATCTTTCTGCCAGTATAACCACTGTCCCTCCTCCGAACATGTCCAAGACGTCTCAGTCTGACCTCTGTAACTTTATCTCCCAGTGGTTCGACCTGCGCTGCACCTCTGATGATCTCATTCCTTATTATTAACCTTTATTTAATCAGGCAAATCCCATTGAGATCYCAGATCCCTTTCTGGGCCTGAAGGCAGCCTGTCGAGCATGTTTCTGGTCTGTGGGAGGAAACTTGAGTACCCAAGAAAAAAAACGTGGATACATAAAGAGAACATGGAAACTTCACACGGAAAGACATCCAGCCCAAATTGGGGATTGAACCCGGGATCTATGGGGTTCCATTTATTTCAAAAATAAGTAGAAGTTGTGCAGATGTTGTTGGTCTATGTGCAGATGTTGTTGGTCTATGCTGTTGCTATGTGTCTTTGGCTGATGTCTAACATCTGCACATGTTACTTCTACTTATTTTTGAAACAAACAGAACCCAATAGGACCTTCCTGCTGTGAGGCATCAGTGCTAACCCCTGAGCCGTCGTGCTGCTAATCTTATCCATCCTCCACACTCCCAAGGAGAACCTCAACATCTTCAGCTCTGCATGTTCCAGTTCTGTCTTTTTGTCAGTGCCACTGTCTCAGTGAGCCCAGCTYGTCTACTTGTTGATATACCAAAAAGCTGCCAAGAAATGTGGCGACTAATGTGCAAATTCATCCGATTTATATCCTGAAACTGATTTATAACTTWAGCGTCCCACCAGAGCTTTTGAACGGTTTGCCACTCTCTCTCTGTCACACACATGCACAGGCATGGGGGTGGGGGTGGGGGGTGGGGAATGGGCATTAATGCCAAAAGCAAAAAAAAAAAAAGGGGGGGGGGGGGGGCTCACAAGAGAATTACAAGCCAGAAAAGATTAGCGTCCTGCAACACTGAGAACAGAATGGCTTTTGTTTCCTTTAGGATAATGAGCTCCCCCGGACACATCTCACTGAACAACACGGCGCACACTCAAATATCAGCACGGCTAAAAAAATAAATAAATAAAATAAAAATATGTTCCTTTCCCCTCCGACTGACCACATTTTATATGTCATGGCCGGTTTAATTTACAGTGAATGTTCACGACCTTAAAAATCGATTGCTGGCTGTTTGGCATTTGCTTGACGTGTAAAAATCAAACATCTCTCTGCGGCTGAGCTGGCATTTTAGAAATGTGCTATTTGCTTTCTTTTTTTTTTTTTTGGAATTTACTGACAAAAACACAGCTGAACTTGTAAAGAGAACTTTTTTTTAATACCATGACTTGAATCTGCTGTTTGGAGACAAACGAACAAACAAAATAATAAAAATAATAATAATAATAATAATAAAATAAACTCAATTTAAAGTTCATTGAATCTCCCACTCACCTTTGATTTGACTTGCTTGGAGAGTGAACAGACAGAAAGTGAGAAGTACTCCTGATTTTAAAAGCATGATGGGCTGATTTATGTGCCTTTCAGCTCCAGAGTAATCATTTGTAAAGAGAAAGTTGCAAACAACAATAAAATCCAGAATCTTCTTAGCTCAAGTCCATTAGGAGAATTTGCTGAGGCGTCTCCACTGATGGCGAGGCGACAAACGCAGCCGTCCGGCTCACTCCTATCAGTTGTGCTCTGATTCGGTTGTCCCACTTGTTTGTCGTTGGATCCTTGTGCTGAAGAGAGGTGACCGCATGGGTGCATGGACAGTGGACAGTGGACAGATCAAGGTGAGGGCTTCGGGATCCGGATTGAAACTCAGACCTGGAGTCTCCTGCTCTCTATGTGTGACTACAGAGAGGAGGTTAAAAAAGCAGGCTCTGTTTTGAGTCTAATCTCTTTACCCTCTTCTTGCTGCTTTGTAATCCCAGCGAGGCCCACGTGGCCTCATCCTGTTAGTCACCTTCTGGACCCTCATCTGTCCGGTCAACAAAGTTGGGGATCTGCCAGTTTCCTCACAACTGAAAAGGCTTGATCATTGGTTCTTTMTRTCTTTTTTTTTTTTTTATTCCCGTTGATCAGCTAACTCTGTGTGCCAGTAAATATATTAATACTGTTCGTCATCAAGTGAGGTCAGGAGTTCAGTTTAGTTCGGTAATTAGCAACTTACTTAAAATGTTTCTGGTTAAACAGGAGTTTGTTTAGGGAAGGATTTGTAGTTTTCCCCAGCAGTGTGAGGTRTGAACGCCTGGCAGGTCTGCAGGGATTTTGATGCTTTGCTCAAACTTCAAACAAGACACACGTTTGGCACTTTTCCTCAAACATCATTTACAGAACTGTCAGCTGAAGATCATTGTTCCGTTGCTGTGGGTTCAGTTTTAGGCCTCGTTTACCTTTACTTTTGTGAACTTGTCTCTCTCTTTGTAAATCGCTTGTATGCTTTAAAGCAGTGGTTCCCAAACTTTTTATCTTCTGACCCACAAAATATTCATGGCAAAAACTTGTGACCCCAAATATTACTGGTCTGAGTACACGAACTTTGTTAATAACCCTAAAAACACAGGCTTTTTGACAATCTAAACAGCTTGTACACAAATACAAATACTTATTTATACTTTTTTGTGTGTTTTTGTAATAGGTACAGGGAAAATATTACATTAGCAATTATTTTGTTACCCTTTAAATTGATTTCTGGAGATTATCCAAGGTGCTTCGTGACCCATAATTGGGTCCCAAGCCCAACGTTGGGAACCAAAGTGCAGTGGTTCCCAAACTTTTCAGCTTTTGAACCACAAAATAACAGCAGCAGAGACCTGTGCCCCCAACTATTTTTGGATGATAAACATTTGTTAACTAAACATGGGCATAGTAACAATATTTTTATACTACATGAATCCATTTTAAATACACTAACCTCACCCCTTTGAAACAACTAAGGCAAAAATGTAATTAATTCAGAAAATATTTTCAGGACCCCACCTTGATATTTCAGGACCCCACTTTGGGTCCCGACCCCAACTTTGGGAAACACTGCTTTAAAATATTCCATCACAATTCATCGCTACCTTTTATCTGTCAGTTTGACTCATAAACCACAATGACCTTATAAATGTTCCTTCTTTAAGATCAGAAATGCATAAAGTTTTAGATTAAATGCTTCTGTTTCATCAGGATCATGGTCAGGATCAGGGTAATTCCCAGARTTTGCATCAAAAATGAAACACCTGTGTGCCACCACAGAGACAAATCAAAGAATCTGCAGTTTTAAGAGCTGATTTGATTTCATGTCTGTTGATTTCTCATTCTGCTTCACCAAAAACATAAAACAATTTGGTCTAAACGCAGCATATATTTGTTATTTAATGAAACCTTACGTTTTTAGTGTAGCTTATGACCCTGACCTAAATCTATTAGGATTACAATCAAGCTTAGATCAGTCATTTTTAGGTTCAAAGTGAAGATTAGGAATAAATWTATTGTATCAGATCAAGTCTACATAAGTGACACCAATGCAGCAGCACTGATTAAAGCTATTTTTGGTGATTTAGGCACAKTTTATACAAAAAAGACAACCTAATCTTGTAGCTGAGGCTCATATAATTATCTATCTTAGGTATATTGTTTCTGGAACAACGGTTTTTAATCAGAAAATCATGACCTCTAACTATGGTTGGTAACTTGCTGTCATGTTTGAATTTGATCAATTTGAATGAACCAGCAGAGTGAAGGTGATGCCATCATTTTACAGGATTTTACTTAATTATAGTGACAATGAAACTGTCTGCAGGATAGTTGTGCTGCTACAGTCTCTGTCACACAAACTTTGTTGTTTTAAATGTGTCATGTAATTTGTCTGAAAATCAACAGTAAATGTAATTTCAGTGTTTCATATTTTGTTGAGCAAATCTGTGAGGGAACAGCCAGGTAAAACATTTTTTTCACATATTTCTTTGGGTTTTAACTGAATACTGAGGGCAGGGTTCCTTATTTCTTTTTAATTTAAAGTTTTTCTTTTTGATTAGCCAAAATATGAAGTTATTCTAGTCGTTTTCTCCTATTTATTACTTTTAAAATTGACATGTTCTGCAAAACTTCTAAAAAATATATTTTTTTAAATGAATGCGTCCACATGTTCATCAGGGCAAGTGAGTTTAAATTAAAGATGCATGGCACACCTTTGAGAATATCCACTCAGGGCTAATTAGCACTGATCTTATAGACGTAAAGCAATGAAAGTCTCACTGTCAGTGTGCCAAGCACCTGTGTTAATGTCAGCCTGACCTGCCGGTACAACTCTTACATAACATAACATGACAATAATCACATGACAAAAAAAAGAATATCTATATCTATCTCTATTTTGAGGGTTGAGTTTTCCATTTGAAAGCTGAAATAACATTGAAGCTAGGCAAGCAAAAATATAGCTTGCTGAAATTGTTGATGAWAAATTACATCTAATAAAACCCTTTTAAAAATAATAGAGCTAACAACAGGAAACATAATTACAGTAAAGATCCTGTGTAGCACTTGTCTCTGCCCATAGTTTCTAAATGTGATGCCATCTTTATATTTCTGTTTGTCTCATTTATGTGGGTCTTCTGTTAGAGTGAATGAAGCACCAACAGAGGGCAGCGTGGTCATCAGTCCTGGCAGGAGAGTTAACCATTTGCTTCCTCTGCAAACAAAAACATTTGAAGTTTCTGTATTTTCACATGTTCTGACATCAATAACCTACAACTCAAGACTGTTTTCTCAACACAGGATGAAGAATATATCTTAAAATAAGGAAGCAATGTTACTTTTTATTGATTAAAGGTGACTAAAAGGTGAATAAACTCTATTTATGTGGCACATTTATAGCCAACAAGGCTATAAGCACTTTACAACACAAGTGTCCTCATTTAGCCATCTGCACAAACCTTATAGCTGATCTGAATCAATCCTTCTWTAAAGTCTAATCAGTGCTTTAGATTGTTTTTATACATTGAGGGTGCACATCAGAGGCAGTGAGGGGTTCGGTGTCCTGCAGGGACTCCTCAACAAGTGACACTGAGGAATCAGACTCCTTGTTGGAGAACAACTGCTCTAACCTCTGAACCACTCCCACCTACTGGTGACAGCTTGGCCCAGTGGGGGTCCGTCTCCAGTTTAATCCCCAGCCCCTGCATCATCTTGACCTTCAAGTTTGTCCAGTTTTACCTCTCCTGCACCTGTTATTCTCACTTTGACAAATTAAAACCTATAAAAAAATTCTTCTTCCTTTAATAATATTCAGCCTTGTGCTTTAGTACGTTTACGAA